GGCCTACTTTTGTCCTAAGCTGCTGCCGTTGGAGGCTTTCGTCCCCAGGCCCCGAGGGTCCAGCCAGAGCAGACCCTCCATGACTCGTCCCTGCCCGCGCGCTTCTTTCATCAAATCGAACGAGCATACGATAAGCTGTTCACGGAAGAACCCACTGATGCTATGTTCCAGGCGCTGACTCGATTTTGACTGTCAACCAACACTGACGTGCGCACATTGAACGCGATTCGCTCTCTCGTACACCTGCCCTCGTTGCGAGCGCACCAGCCACTAAGAAGGATCTATTCAATTATTCTCGCTTGTCCGCGCGTAAACATTGGTGGATAACTTCTGAATTGGAGAAGCGCCAATGATGTGGGCCGATGTTCGCAAGCACGGAAACCTGCTTCCTATGCTCACGCATTTTTTCTTTGCATGTTACAAGCCAATCATGGATCATCCACCTCCAGCATGTTTCACTCTCTATCTTCAATCGAGGGGCATAGGTACAATCGTTTTACGTGTCCAATATCCATTACCGCGCGTGCTACTCAATGGGGGACCCATCTCGCTTAGCGATACGAGAAAACATCAGACCATAGTGGCCTTGTGCTACAGCACCTGTCTGCATGCAAAGTGTTCTCGTCAGGCCCAATCACACCTTTCTTTACTTTTTCTCGACTGCTTTTACCGTCCTGCAATCTTCTGGCCCCCCCTCAACAACAAAACGTCCTGGTTCGCAGACTCGCAATTCGTCCGATGCGGACTGAACAGCATACACCAACTGCAAGACATCTGTCTGATCGTCGTCAAAAAGCACCAGAAGATCCACCGGCTATCTCGTGATCCTCGAATGAGATTACCGAGATCTCTTCCTGGAATGTCAAGGTCACACAACGATGCAGATATAACAAGATGACCTTCTATCACACGACGTCAAGCTCCCTACTACCAGTCTTGTCGCTGATGCTTACTGCAGCTTACGCTCCTTCGTGCATCCACTTGACAGCGTAAGCACTCCCGTCTGACAGCCATCTCTGGTACGGCAGTAAGGGAGATGCGGCTATCTTTGGCCTGCCTTAGCCTGGTGTGCTTGATGGTAGTGTGGCTTGCCTGACTGCAAAATGCATTCGTCGTCAAGCATCGAACATAGAGATCGCCAAGGGACGGCTCGCGCGCGATTGGGGAGTGTGTACTGCGGGGCGAAACTGGTCGTGAGAGAGGGCGCTTCCCGTGTGCACTCCAACTGAAGGCTTCGCTCGAACTACTGCGCTTAACTGTTGGGTCTGTCACCTGTCAAGCGTATCGACGGGTTGTGGTTTTGTTCTGCATTCGACCAACTATAGTCACGGGCGGCAAGAAGCTTGAAATGCTAGTGTTTGCTGTGATGGCGGGCCCCTGACAGCTGATGAGGGCCTCCGTATTGACCGGACACGGCGCCTCACCCTTTGGCAGGGGCGTACATACCGATGGGCCTCCAGAGGCGGCTCATACTGAGACTATGTCTCTTCTTACAGACCGGATGCGTGAGTTTCCTTCTGACCGATCACGTACATCTTCGGCCGTCTCTACGAGATGCGTCCTGTTCGCTAGTCTTTATCATCATCGTATCACACATGTACTCAGCTTACCCTGCCTCAAGACGGAGTTCGGATGCTTCGATGCACACATGTCCTCCTTCCAGAAACAGGTGCATATCTTGAATTGCCAATATGTCAATAGACGGACTTCATTGTCTGACTGATCTAGCACTTGATCACTAAACGTTGCCTCATTACAACATCTCCGGACATGTCACGTTGCTTCAGAACAAGTCCTCAGCCATCCGTGCATTATACCTCTTCTGAATCCATGCGTTATACTATTGACAAGCTCCGTATTACTACGTCACTAACTTCGTTTTCTCGGCCTCAAGACTACCCAGACTTCTCAGCCTCGATTGCGGAGAAGCAAGAAGGAAATCAGCAAGTGTGCATGAAAGCTCCCACCAACACCCCTCTCGGTAAACGCCACGGGCCCAACCTCAAGCTTCCGTCAGGTTGGTGTGTCGGGGTCGGAGCGTCCCTTCCACCGTCACCGTGCCTTTCCACTAGCACACGCCACAAGCTCGCCGGATGGCAACATCATAGCGACTGTCCATGCGTATATCCTCCGATGCCAAAGCTATGTGATGGTGTATGCGCATGGATAGCTGTGTTTATGCGCATGAGTTTGGGGTACGTCATAGGGTGTGTTTTTGTGCTTTTCGTGAATTATGGGAATGTGGGATCGAGATCTCGAAGATGGTGTTTGTAAATGATGTAACATGAAAACGACATGGGTAAAACCACAAAACTGGACAGAAACATTAGCCCTGGACTCGCGATTTGAAAATGCTAGGACCTTTGATTGCGCGAATCTCATCTTCCTGTTTGTTGACGCTTTCGCAACTCTAGACTGCTCAACAGGCATTCAACCATGTTTTCGTGACAATATGGGTCTTGTTTAGATATGTTTATCCCGTTGAATTAAACAAAGTGGTCGTGATTAGCACGACCTCTGTCATGGTATTTGGAAGGAGAAACCTCGGAAAGTCATGAGGAGGAATATTGTGGATTTTGAGAAGTCCGTGGGTCTGCTTGCGCGAGCGCACACATCTTCAAAGTCGAAATAATTTTGAGAAGTCGGGGCAGACGAAGCAGCAACATGAAGTCTTTGATCGTGGTTTTTGGTAAAGCCGACTGCACAAGAAGGGATAGGGAGGAGAAACCTTCCAGGTTGGGGAGGTGTTTATATGCACTACAAGCTCGCAACACCATGTTCTTCCTCAGAATTTTGAGACATGCTAGCATGAGTTGCTCGACGAGAGGAGGAACCATCAATTCATCGTACGCCTGTTTCGGTGGCCTTCATCTCGCAAAGACATGATATTCGCTCGTAAGGCTTTGAGTGTGGATGTTTGCGGTGTCTTTATCTCGACCGAGGACATGGAGCTCTGCCGTGTTCGTTTTGAAGTTGATTGAAGCATCTCAAAAGCATGATATCTCTGTGAAACAGTATGGTCCTTTCGTCTGCAGACTGGACACATACAAGTTGAGTGGAACAATTTTGAGAATTTCCGGGGAAGGAAGAACATCACATGGCTTTTACATCTTTTTGGAGAAGAATGGTAGTAGATGGTGTAATGAATAACAGAGAGAAAGCTTGGGGTAGAGTTAATATATTGGCTCAGCAACGCTAGCTAGTGCTCATGTATTCGCAGAACAATCGGCAGGACACAGAGGTCTTGGATCATTGTTTTGGAGTAGTACAGGGAGGAGGACATGTAGTCTTTTCGACCGAATTTTGGAAGTAAGAAGCTTTTAGTGGTATTGTAATGAACCAGAATGATGGAAGGACTGGAACAGTGATTTTATATTGGAGCCGTCATTCCGGAGCATTTTGAGGTCAAGCGATGGTCGAGACGCTCCCATGAATTCTGCATACGCGAGTTTTGATGTCTCGGGGGCGAAGGAACATGAACTCGAAATCCTCAAATTTTGGAGAGAGGTAGCAGAGACTGAGATGCGAGGAGAATGTATCATTGAGAGAAAGGTTTTGTGCTCCGAGAGGATGTTGCGCTAGTTGCATGTCGTTGGCATGGTGGTCAAGTACGTTGATTGGACTGCTCCAATTTGAATGCCATTTCATCTTAAACTTTTCGCAGACGTATTCGCAGTACGCAATGCTCGCTCATAATTGAACCTGTAACTCATATTTCCACAATGCTCACCTTCAAGACAAGACCACCAACTCAACCGCGTGACACCCTCGATGACTCCCTTCCTCCCACCTCCACTCTTCCGATGTCACCCGTCCAATCCAAAAACCAGGTCCCCCCTCCCAGCCCAACCTTCCTCGTACAGCCTACCGTACCCATACCCCCAAATCTCATACCAAACATCGCATCTAAATGCTCCATTCAACCGCCACCCACTACCCATCATCTCCGACCCAAGACACCAATCGGAGTCCACGGCCCACCCCTCACACAAACCCGTTGCCTCACTTCCACCACCTGCCTCCACCGTACCACCTCGCACCCAGTACGCTCATATCTCGTGAAACCGTGGCCGCCTTCGTGGACTCATGCATAACACCACACCAGACTTGATGGACGATACGGAGTGAAGTGGCACGAGATCGTTTGTGTTACCATCGGTCAGGATCGCTGGGAATGGTGGGAAGTACTAGAGTAGGAGGCGCTGGCGCTGACGCATATGCCGGAAGCGGTGGAAACATGCGTCTTTTGTGTATGTGTATGTGGGTGGGTGGTGCAATGTGTTTCGTCGTGTTGCTTTTGCTTTTTAGGTGAGGGTGGTGCGAGATATATTGCATGGTAGGACGAGATTTCGGGGGATGGCTGAGCCACTCCGAGGAGCGATGGAGCTTGTAAAAGGGTCATGACGATGTAATTGTAGATTCGTTAGTTGAGAGTGTAGTCGTTTCTTGTAGTCGTGGTTCCATGACCTGAGTAGCTGTGACGTTTCGTTGATGCTCGCGATAAGATTGAAGCGTCCAGAATGCTAATTGTATGCGCCGGTAGTCCTAGTGTAGCTGGAAAGCTTGCCTTCCAGAGGGCCAACACAATAGCCAACAGCTTACACTACCACGCGGTATCTTTGGTAGGCCATGTGAGGCCCCTATAGAACTTGTAGTGCTGTGAATCGGCGAAAGGTGTTAGACGCTGACGCAGTATAACGCTCGTTCGTACCACCGCATTGAGCTATCGTCGGTAGCATCCTTCCGTATGTTTAACGACACCAACGGCATCGGAGACATATACTCGGCGGAAAGCGGATTCGGAGACTTCTTCCCATCTAGCCTACTTCTTCGCCCACCGATAGCTCCCGTCTAGCAATGACAAAAATCCGCGCCGGTCTTCCTCTCGTACCTATATCAAACAAAGTATATGTAGCATTGCGCTTCATTCTGAGGATCAACTTACCCTACTCAACAGCTACACTTCAACCCCACCTTTTGCACGACCAACACCATCAACCATGACCGAATCCTCACCTACCAAACCTCCTCTTCCAGCGTTCGACCCGCAGAATTGTCAGACGTACGCAGCGAGTTGCCACTGCGGTAGCGTACAGTACTCGGTTTTGCTCTCGCCGCCGCTGGCCCAGTGGAAGGTTGTATCGTGCAACTGCAGTATCTGCACGCGCAACGGCTACTTGCTCGTGTACCCCGAACGGTCGCAGCTACAAGTAAAGAGCGGTGAGGACATGTTGAGAGACTACTCCTTTGGTGTCAAGAGGGTTCTGCATAGGTTCTGTAGTAGGTGTGGGAGCGCAGTCTGGCTTGATCCTAGGATGGGCGAGTTTGGAGAAGCGCCGCCAGATCTGCTAGGGATGAATGTATGTGGTGTCCGTCCATGAGGGTGTCAACGCGGAGGCTTCGAGGCTGACCAGAGCAGGTTCGCATGTTTCATGGTGTTAAGGCGGAGGAGTTGGACATTGTCCATGTTGAGGATCGGAACCCATGAGGGTTAACACATGGGGTGGATGTGCGGTATCAGAATCTACGCCGCGGGATAAACGAAGACATGCATACTCTTGGGCGCGCAAGATTTTCTACGCGAAGCGCAGCTATTCGCGATGTGTTCTGATCGGAGTGAACCATGGCAAGACGCGTGAAGGCCTCAAGAGTGACAGTATGGAGAGTGCTCGCGGTGCAGGCATCGTCGCGTTCACAGCCCGAAAACGACGCGCACTTGGTGATGGTGTTGATAAGGCAGGACGCGAAGTCCAGGTGTTCGCCAATGCCAAGCCGCTAACCTTCAGCCTCGGTGAAGTGATCCCTGCCACCAACTCGCGATATCTCCATTATCGAAGCCTCCCAGATCTCTCAACAATTGCTACCTGTAGCCGGCGGTCAGCATGTCACGAGCGCGCATTGTTCTCAGTCGCGCGGCTTTGACATCATCTTGCCAATCCGCCAGCCGAACCTTCCGCTCCTCCAGCTACCATGCGCATCGCGATGTTCCCCTCCCCCTCCAATCCCGCATCCGCTGGTCATACTTCTGGTACGCCAGCATACTCGCACTCGGCATCACAACTGGTCTAGGTGCTCGCCACTTTGCCGCGCCTCTCGGTCTTCCAGAGCCCGGTTCAAGAGAAGACGAGATCATCCTCGACTCTCTGCGGCGCGACATCGATGCTCTCGAGATCGTACAATCCTTGCGCTCTCAGTCATACAACCTACATACCGACACAGCGCTCCGGTCAGGACCGGGAATAACGTCATCTCCTGGGTCAAGTCGGAAGATATCAGCGTACAAAGGGTGGCTCGAGCTGGATCTGGACTTTGGGAGAGAGAATGAAGGCAAGAAAGGCATCTTGGGCGTCATGAGTGGCACGCGGGGATTGGGTGTACAAAGAGCATTTTGGAGTGCAGAGACAAGAGAGATGGTGGCTGTGGTCTGGATAGGAGGAGGAATGAGTGGTTGGCCGGGTGTTGCGCATGGCGGGGCTATCGCAACCATCTTTGAAGAGATCATGGCGAGGATGGTCAGAGGGCCAGATGGCATTGTGGGTGCGTATACTTCTCAAGTACCTACAGGGAGTACGCTCATGCTGACACTGAGAATAGAACCAGTCCACCGTCCAGACTCTCTCAGCCTAACCTACGCCAAACCGACCTACAGCCTCGACTTCTACGTCCTCCGTGCCTCCTTCTCGAAACCTGACCTCCCTCAATCCGAGCCGCCGCCAGAACCCGAAGCGGAACCTACAAAGAGCTGGTTGGGGTGGTTGTCGCCGCAGAAGGACCTGACGAAGAAGATCGACGCGTCGAGACAGAAGCAGGAGATTGTTGCGACGCTGGAGAGTGTCGGCGGGGACCTTTGTGTTAAGGCCAAGGGCACGTTCAATGGAAGTAGCCCGGTTGTCCGAGGGATTGAGGTGGCCGCGTACTAGTGATGAGATCAGAGAAGGCCCTAGATTGACGGGAGGGAGACTTGATGGGATATTTGAGAATCGACACGAGAGCTGGGATACCCAATAGCGAAATGATCAGATCAAACAGGTTTTAAGAAATGGCACGATACCTGGGCTCGCGCGTCTGACAAAGCAAGAAACATCGCTCCTTGCTGTAGAAAGAGGCGAATGTCGCTGGCTTGGGTAGATAGAAAGCTTAAGGTTACTATCTATAGTAAAGTAGTCCTAAATCTAATATATTAACTTCTGTTTGCGTAGGACTGTAAAGTAACCGCTAATCTAAACGGTAATAAAGAATTATGTGCGAAGGAAGAAGAGTAAGCGCTTATGCAAAGGCAGCCATGCAGGTGCGAGTAGAACTTTCCAAATGGTTGAACTATTATTGGCAAGCGCCCATCAACTAAGCCCTAGTAAGCCCTAAAACTCTTCGGGATACCGGGGTGCGACTGAGTCATAAACTCAGTCGCGTCGCCGTTACCCTCAACTGGCGCACTACACGACGAGCTATCAACTTCACAATAACGCTAGATACGCGTCGCGTCCCTTCCATCCAATACCCACGCTACACCACGAGATTTCGAGGAGGTACGATGGGTCCACGTATCTTCTATCGCGTCGAAGACGAAGATTCTCGCGCCCGCTACATCAAACGACAGGGTATAATTGCAGAGGACAGAGATACCTCGGTTGATTTCAGAAAGAAGGGAGATGCTTTGCTAGACCAGATTGCGCAACATCTCGATTGGAGCAACAGACATCCTACGCCATTCATTTCAACGTATTGTGACGAGTGGGTAGCGTGGAGAGAAGCAGAGCGGCGAGTGACTGCAGGAAAGAGCGGCGTGAAGATCTACAAGATTGATACGGGTACTAGAAAAGAGCGCACGGAGTATCGTAACATCCGACTTCTTGCTGAGAGCCTGGACTATTACATTCCCTTCGATGCATGGAACAACTCGAAGCACGAATACGTCTTCCTCTATCGCATTCCGGACAGCGTGGTTGTAGGATGGGAAGACCTGTCAATGTCTACAATATCGTGAACGAGAGAGCTATAAGGTGCAGATTGTAGTTAGAAGCATGTCGACCGTGTTCGTTAGATCTACGAATGAGCAGATTGCTGTTTCGTCTTATGTGAATTTGCTATGACGAAGACAAGTGTTCTAGATGTCAACAAGATAAGGTTAGCTATTTAACTACCAGGTAACAGGGAGAGTAGCTAACGCGCCCCCATAGCGTAGAGGAGGTTTTATGTAATAATTGTTGAAGAGGAGAATAATGTCTCTAGATAAGGTAGCTTCTTGCTATACATCACCACTACGCGGCTAATCCTCATTTTTCACGAACATGAACAATCCAAAACTCCTTACGACTAATCGTTGGTCGTATGACCGTGCAACAATTATACCACCAAGTTGTGCTCTATCTTAGCTTGTGTCCTCCCCCTCACATTGAATATTCATTCAACATGCTGAGAGTAGAGCTCGCTGCATCGGTGCTAGTGGGCTCGAAATATGGGAACGCGGTGGGCTTGATTAGTTTAACGAAGAGAAAACAGCGAGCTTCGGAGCTCGAGCGCGTGGTAATGCTATATTTCTAAGATACGGGAGGTAACGATAGTATAGCCAGTCTAGACTGTGTTGGTCCAGGCTACCGACCTCAGAATTCTTGTCAAATATGCCCACATGAGGCAATCTGTCATCAAAAAAAAAAGCGTATTGTTCTTCAAGTGTTCGCTCCTGGTCAGCGGAATTCGAGCAATTGCGGATCCTGGCGGATCTCAAGCCCTGCATCGAGTACCAAATCTTCCCTATAACAGTCTCCTACTAGTTCATAATGTTGGTCAACAGGTCTTACCACAAATGGAACAGCACACCCCGCAAGAAAACATATGCGATCGGTCGGCCTTGTGTGCTCAGGTACCCAGGCCAGATACTTTTGCTTTGTAACGCAGAATTTCCGGCCAGCTGATAGCTCATAGAATCTGCTTTCGTACATCCTGTCATAAGAACCTGGTTTACCGTAACTCCGCAGAAGGCTGGGGTGATAGTGTGCTTGTCCCACTAAGCTTTTATACACACCAAATAATGCCTGAAGTCCCTTCATGTAGTGACTAGCCAATGTATCCGTTTCTTCGAGACGTACACCAAATGCAATCGCACGGCAAAGTCTTTCAAAGCGGACGTTCTCAATTGAGGGTGGAAGAATCGACATAGCTACCACATAACACATGGATATCCAATTCATCATATCTTTGGCCGACTTCCGGATGTTTGCGCCAGTTCCGAGCATTGCCGGCCAAGTCGGATCCATATATGGCTTTGAATTGATAATCACAGTAGGCTCGTCCAAGATTATCCCTGATATGTACAACACCTAGAGAGTTAATTCTGTTGTATAAAAAGCCAACGGGTAAACTCACTTTGTCTTTGACAGTAGCATGATGATAATGATGTGTAAAAGTTGCAGTGCCTGTGTAGTAACGCGTCAAGGGAACGAAGTTGAATCCGATAGGCTTCCAGTCCGGCACCCAGCTCGGTAGATTTGATGATCCTGGGGAGCAGAATTTGCAAGCTAAAAATCTGCTGACTCTTTGCAGGTTGTTCCACTCAACTTGGTGCGACGGCTGGAAGATACTTCCAATCCACTTTATCCTAGGGACTGGTATGTTGAGAGCCGCCACTGCAATCTCCGTATAGACTGTTGCTTCGCTCTTGCGGTAATTGATCATTTCCATCCCAACTGCTGTTTGTGTCGACAAGAGTGCAAAAACTCGGTCTCGAGGATCGGTGGCTTCAAGTTGTTGGCTCCTGCACCATATATCGAAAATTCGAGGGCCATCTTCCACTCCCATTTCACGGCCAAATTGATCCACTCCCAAAGCTAAAAGTCTCAAGATTGCTTTTCCAGTATCGCGAACATCTCTTCCGCGACACACAACTTCTCGAATCGCAACGCACACTCCTGTGGCGAATCCGCAATGCACTAGGAGTTTAGTTGGAATCTCCAGTGCACCGGACATAAAAACGGAATTCTTCGCGTTCGTAAACTCTTGTACAATCCAAACACGTCCAAACCATGGGCGACAAAAAAAAGAGGCCCATCCGGCCCAACCGCGATCAAAGGAAGAAAGGTTCATCTCTTCCAGAGTCTCCAATCTGCGCCGTTCCAAATCCAGCCGATGCGGATACCTTTTGGAAAAGCTTCTCATCATTTTAATTGCATCTCCATCGTAAATTTCCTCTTGTCCAAGCCAGAATATGACCTTTGCGGCGCGTCTGTAGATGTCTCTCATGATGGCCACTTGAAAGCTCTTTTCTTCGTCGTCCTTTTGGTTGATGCAGATGGCGTCTACCCACAGTAAGCAATCAAACCGCTGTTTCTGTAGTTGTGATAAGACACCCCAGAGATTGCGTGTAATCGACTTTGTATGCCCATTGCATATGATCTCGCATGGCGATGTTGCATCGCCCCAGACATATGAGAGCGCAGTGAATTGCGTTTTTGAGTCGAGGTCGAAAGTTTCGAGAGTGATCTGGATGCCTTCTTCGCTGGTTCCCGATTTGATGCGCAATAAGCGGATGGCTCGTCGGTGCGGCAGCAGCGAGTATAATGTGGCGTCTGGCATTTTGAAGTTGTCCCCATTCGTTTTATGCATATACTCTCAAAGGAAAACACAAGAGTATAGCTATATGGGACGACCGACTATTCAGCAAGGCAGCCGGTGAACTGACCGGATATCTCGTAGGCGAAGTGGCGTTCGTCTGCGTGACGGAATCTGGCGCCTGATTCGCCAACCAATATCTCAACAGAATCCTCCACTACGTCAATACACGAGTATCATAACCGAGAATCGATGCTGTTGGGGTTATCTAGTAATGTGAAGCAGATCACCCGACAACCAAATAGCCACGTCATTTCGCGAGCAGAGTGTGCTGCCTACTGCCCCACCACCACGTATATTTGGATAACTTAGCAACGACTCAACTCTTCGACCAATCCAACTGGATGGCATCCTGCGCTAGGATTTCCTGGGAATTCCCTCATCATGCGTCTTTTGTGTCTTGAGAACCATAACGAGTTTAGCTTCGAGGAAGTCGTTGGCAAAGATATTCTGCCGCATGCTACTTAGGTATTCATTCGCATACATGGGGAGCAGCTGACTGCGAGGTTACTTATGCAGACATAATAAATGGAACAGGGAAGAACAAATTCGGCTACATTAAGATCTGTCTTTGGAGGAAGCAAGCTGAGAAGAATGGTCTCCAATATTCTTGGATCAACACCTGCTGCATCGATAAGACAAGTAGCGATGAGCTGTCAGAGGCCATCAACTCTATATACTCCTAGTATGAGAAGGCGAACACCTGTTTCGTCTACTTGGAAGAGTTTTTGCCTGAGATAGAAATCTCTATAGACTCTATGGCTAAGGTCCGGTGGTACTTGCGGCGCAAAGGGGGGTCGAGGTGATGGGTCGGGTGATGGAAGAGGAGGCGATGGGCTCCGAAGGTTCCTACGACCTGAATACAGACACCGTCTCATGTCTTGTTGGCATGTTAACACATGCTTCTGGTACTGAATAATCGCATACGGCGGCACCTTCACCACGGCTGCCACAGTGGCGCGATGGATCGGCGCCAACGCAGGTCAAAAAGCTTAGCACATTGTATTTACTGCCCCTAAATCCTATGCATTGGCCGCGTACTTAGGTCTTGATATCGATGAATCGACTGGGGGTTACGTGAGTATATTCTGGGAATTCACCGCTCAAACAGGCGCTCTGTGACTATGAAGGGTTGCACTTGCTCTCTCGGAACGTGCTCGCCTGGTGGCTAGTGGCTCTTGCTTCATTCCACCTGCCAGTACCCGCCAGATCATGCTTGTGTGGTTCAACTCACATTCACCACTCTGTTTGCACTCTTCACGTCTCTCTCTCTCTCTCTCTCTCTCTCTCTCTCTCTCTCTCTCTCGCTGCTGTT